ATTGAAACTTAAGAGCCACCGGAGTGGTTTTCTAAACAAAATATAGTCGAAACATTCCGCAAAGCATAGTTTGATTGCGAAAATGATTTTCGAAAGTGACAAGATATTTAAATGTTTTCGCATAACTGGTGGAGTCCCAAATGGCGGAATCCCTTTCATGGCACCCATTTCATTTGGATCGCGTCAGGCATAAAAATTGGGTTGTGTGTGTTTATACAGCCTAGAACTTTTTCTGCCTGAAAGGGCGACGAGTCTCCCAGCTGTAGATGAGCAATTTAGCCAGTGCGGTACCACCGCTAGCCTGGGGTCTTTAACGTGCATCACGCAGTAGTGATACACGACAGCACGCCGGTACGGTGCTCGTCCAGATCGAAACGGGCAGGGTGGGGATTGAACCCAGGATTGAACCCAGTAGAACACGCACAAAAGCAGCTGTGGTGCACCCGTAGCCTCGCGCTTGTTGTTCTGACATCTCTGGCTCGCTCACTGCGGGAATCCAGGCATCTGACACCCTGGCTAGAGTGTACCCCAGACATATGGCAGCTTTTCTGTCTTTCACGTGGCGTTCCAAGCGACGCACGACGGAAAATGCACATCAAGCTATTCTTGAACACGTGTCGCCATCTGTATTTTGTATTAAGAAACTGCAATTTGCCTGAACTGAATAGACCCTTTCCGAAATTCAGTCTGGCCACTTTGATCCCTATCATCATCCGTGGTACGGCATCTGTGCCATACCAATGGCGGCCTTCTAGTGACTGATAAAGGAAAATGTTGAAGATGCTCCTAAGCGGACGATGCGAGGCCTGTACATTCGGGGGGTCAGTACGACGTGACGTAGGAATGGAACACAATAGCTACGTAAGCGTTTATTTCTAATAACTCAGATTCAATCAATCTGTGGGCGGCACACAATCGGCTTTAAAGCATTTTGGTGTACAGAATTTTTCGAGGCATCTGAGTGGGTTGGAGCTTCGTTCTGAATGCAGGTTCTTGGTCATCATCGAACTGAAAGTGATCGAGAAAGAACTCGGACTGAAAAATTCCTCGCGTGCTGTTGACTTGCGAAAGTGACGGTGCCGATACAAGTTCATTTCCGCCATTGATATGGCAAAACCTAAACTGCTTTACGAACTACCAGATGGCACTGAATTTCGAAAAAGAAAAGTTTGAGGTCTTATAACATTCTTAACGTGAAATATATCAATATGGAAGTTCTGGAAAATGTAATATCGAAGGATGCTTCATAATTTAATGTCTCGTAATTAGATTAGTTGACGTGATTTCGTTTTTATAGCACAAAACCTGTTTGTCTCTTTCTCTCTTGTGTCCGTGTTTTTGCGCCTTGTAACATGAGTACCAACGTTTACCAACTAGCCCAACTACAAGTTCTTCTACAAATAGTACAATTTTAAACTTTATTTTTATTTCAAAATATACATTATCTCTACAGTTCGTTGCTTACTTTTTAATTCATTATATCCAACCGAACGCTCACGTAAAATATCGTGGACGATGGGACGTTATAACTTGTAACTCGAGAAATAATTTTTTTCATTATTAAAGACTGTGGTCTATTAAAAGCTGAATAATAAACTAACAACTAAACATAATCGCAATATCGAGACATTGAAGTGTTTTTGAAAAACAGCTCTTTAATTTGACATAAACTTCATAATTGTGGAATACATAGAAAGAAAATTATAAACCGTCAAAAAGCACCAAAACGTCGTGCACGGTGGGGTTGCACCTTAACGCTGTCGCATTAAAATCGTTAATTTGCCAGTCTTGTGCTGGCCAATAGTGACGAGAAAGAAGAGTCGGGGCTTCGACACGAGTCAAATTCCGCTCGCGCACTCACCACAATTCGACCTTTGAGAGGTGGCATCATCGGCGCATGATTCTCTCAGCAGAAATGACTACACTCAAAAATGCCCAACGCAGCCGTAGTCGTATCGATCAGGTAACATTTCTTTCTTTCTGAACAACCTTTGATATTGTTCCAGTAACGTGCAGCCGAAATTTGAATTATACGCAATGTAGTCCATGTTCGTCAGATTTCGGGCGCCTCTGCCGGGTGATTAACAACACCGAAAATGATATTGAACATGCCGTTTCTCGTGCTCACGTCATGATAGCTCAATCTCATATAGCAGACTTTATTTGTAGATCTAAACATTGGCCAAGCGCAGACTCCGCAGATTGTTGTGAATGGCTCTCCGAGTGCTCTCTGCCAAAGTAGACGCACGGGAAGTTTGAAATACACCTTTACGTAGCACTTATCACCCAGTAGAAAACTGATGAGTCGCTTGGCTGTTGGCACATGTGCGGCGTCTGTTACTCGGAAGTTTCAGCGGTGGTGGTACCAATAAGTGAGAATCACGCTCCCTATCTCCTGGATGGTCGGGTTCATTATAAACGTGCTTGCCTACACCTTCCTGGCGTGAAAAAATAAAGCAAAACTAGAATTACTTACTTGCCGCAGATCCAGCCTCGTACTGCTGTTCTACGACGATGATCCAGATGGCAACTATTTTGGAAGGCTTTCTCCCAGCTTGAGCAGAGGAAGATAGTGAACATCACGGTCAGCAGCAGTGTTGAGGAGGAACAGAATTGTGTAACGATGGAGACGACTACAAAAGAATGGGACAAGGCAGAGAGTAAGGTTCCAGCAGGTACAGCGACAGGCCCAGACAACGTACCCATGGAACTCATAAAGACGCTAGGAAAAACAAGCAAATTGAAGTTACGGCATGTGATTAACCAAGTAATTATGGGAGGAGAGGTTCCCAATGATTGGAAACTAGGTAAAATGAGACTAATATATAAAGGCAAAGGAAACAAAGACAGCATTAAGTCATATCGCCCGATAACGGTAACTTCAATTTTATACAGATTAGCTATGCAGATAGTAAAGCGTAGAATGAAGCAATGGACAGAAGATTTGCAAATACTGGGCGAGCTCCAAAATGGATTCCGAAGAGATAGAAGACTGGAAGATAACCAATTCGTCACCACTCAATGTATAGAAATAGCAATGAAGAACCAAACTCCTTTATGGCTAGCTTATTTGGACATCAAGGGGGCGTACGATAATGTGAACCAGGAAAAACTCATGGGGTCAGCTGAACGAGTATAATTTAGATAAAAATTTGGTTGGGTTTCTTCAGCAGGTGTACACAGACAATAATGTAGTGATAACATGGGAAGCAGAAACTACACAACCCGCAGCGATAAAAAGAGGACTCAGGCAGGGCTGTCCACTGTCACCTCTGCTACTCACAATATATCTCAGTAAAAAAAAAAAAATGGAAAAGAAATTAGAGCAGTGCAACTTAGGTTTTGATGTGAGTTATATGGACGGAGGGAGAAATGTAGTACAGGTAATACCAGGACTGATGTATGCAGATGACAGTACTCATGGCAGATAACCAGGATACATTACAGGAACTAGCTGGAATATGTAAGCCGCCTCGGTGGCTCCGAGGCGAGAGCGTCGGCCTACGGATCCCCATGTGGCGGGTTCGAATCCCGGCCGAGGTGCCTGCAATCTGACGGAGGCTTATTGCGGAGAAAACGCCGTGTAACCGAGCTTTCGGTTGCACGTCAAAAGATCCCCAGGTGGTCGAAATTAATCCTCAGTCCTCCGCTGGGGCGTGCCAGATGCCCATCGTTGGTTTGGCACGTAAAACCCCCAAATTTGACTTTGGAATATGTGGAGAGGAAGGGGACACCTTGGGCATGAGTTTTAGTAGTGACAAGTCTGGAGTAATGGTGTTTAACGATGAAAAGAGGGAACCCCTGAGAATTCAAGACATTTTAATAACCATGTAGAAAAATACAAATATCTGGGAGTCTGGCTCAATGAGGGAAGGAAATATCTAGAGGAGCACGAGGAGAATGTAATTAGAAAAGGAAGAAGAAATTAATCTATTATGAAGCTCAAGGCACTATGGAACTGTAACAGATATGAGGTGGTCAGAGGTATATGGAAAGGAGTGATGATACCACGACTGTCTTTTGGCAATGCAGTTCTGTGCATGAAATCTGAGGTTCAATCAGGATTAGAAATTCGACAAAGAAGCGTAGGCAGATTGGCGCTGGGAGCACATGGAAAAACACCAAATGAGGGAGTACAGGGGGACATGGGATGGTCGTCTATTGAGGGCAGGGCGGCAATTAGTAAGTTGAAATTTGAACAAAGATTGACCGAAATGGATGATACGCGGTGGGCACGGAAGGTATTCAAGTATTTATCCATGAAAAGTTTAAACACAAAATGGACAAACCGAACCTGAAAGCTTACATTTAGATACCGACACACTGGTAATGGGGCTGAACAGGAGAAATCAGCTTTAACTGATTTTAGCTTTATCAGCTTTAACCGCAAAAATAAACTAGGCAATGCCTAGTTTATTTTTGCGGTAAAAAAGACCGTGTAAATTTTCTTTTGTGACACCCTGTATATATATATAGGGAGCAGTTATTGAGAGAACCCGAGGAACGTCAAAACGAAATACAACCAGACTTGGGCTTTTGTTTATTTAAAAGCTAACACTTAAACGAAAACAAACTCCTGTGCTACGTTCTATGAACATTAGAGTCTTTCGGGGTCACTACTGCATGTAAAAGGTAAAAATTCATCTCGTGATCCTTTTAAAATTTATGGTACGACTAGAAATAACTTGTGCCAAGACGTATTTGCATACGCAGTTTTGAAAATAGTGTGTCGATTCTTATTGAGTGGCGATTATGTAAACTCAAATATAGCCTCCACAAAAAGTGATCACACCTTTCTTCATTTCACACAGGCGTCAACGGCTAACCCCAAGCGCGGAGTGCCTGCGTACGATGCTTACCGCGTGCTTTTGGCCATCTCCGCACTGGCGGCTTCGGTGTCTGTTGGCGGGCTTCTTCTCGCGGTACAAAGCATTCAAGTTCGGAAAAGCGCGACCCAAACAAACGTTCGTCGCGCAGGCGTGAAGCGCATCGAACGCGTCATGGACACAAGCATCAACCCCTGTGACAGCTTGATTGGATACGTGTGCTCAAGGTGGAAGAAGGTTCATCCGGAAATCTTGACGCCTTTCAGATTCGTCGAGAAGGAAGTCGTAATCCCGCTCCAGAGGGATCTGTTGAGGATGTTTGTCAACCCGCTTCAGACCTCGGCCATGGAAAAAGTGACAGCTGCTGTACAAAACTGCTACGCCATTAGGCGTAACCGGCTGGAGAATCTGCGGGCACTGAGCGAATTCCTGGCGAACAATGGCTTCCAACTGCCCCCAGTCGGCGGCCAGCCGGTGCCCAGTCCACTGGAGCTGTTGATCACGCTGAATTTCCGTCTGCGCATTCCTCTGCTGTTTGCACTGCGACCTGCCATCGACCTTCGGACCGACGATAGGAAGATACTCACTGTTATGACCGACATGTATAACCTGGAGCGGTTTGCTTTTGTGAGTATTAACTAGGGTGACCATATTCCTCAAGGTAGAAAACGGGACATCCCATCCAGGCGGAGGGGGGAGAGGGGTACTAAAGATTGAGATTGGTAAAAAAAATGAAAGCCGTTTACAACTCCCTGTAACGTTGAATTAGAGCGCAGCTCTTGAGGAGGAGGAGCCAAGGCCACGAAGGTCACGTGACCCCCCCTGAGGTCACGTGACCTTGGTGGGGTCACGTGACCCCCAAGGTTACGTGACCCCCTCCCCAAAATCACGTGGGGGTCACGTGACCTAAGGGGTGTCACGTGACCTGGGGCTGTCACGTGATCTCGGGGTTTCACGTGACCCCCCAGACAAATTTTTCCGCTAGATTTAGCGGGGAAATTTTTCTGCTAGATTTAGCGGGCAAATTTTTCCGCTAGATTTAGCGGGAAACTTTTTCCGCTAGATTTAGCGGGGGAAATTTTCCGCGCGGAATACTTTTTCCGCTAGATTTAGCGGGTAAATTTACCCATAATGCACCGCGCGGTTACGCCGACGGCGACGGCGACACCGCTGAAGCCGGGAACGGGCGCCTAAGAGCTGCGCTCTAAAAATTTATTAAAAAAAATGAAAGCCGTTTACAGAGCGCAGCTCTTGAGGAGGAGGAGGGAAGGGTACTGAGGTTCACGTGTTTTCAGGGGGGGGGGTCAAGTGACCTCGAGGGGGGGGTCACGTGACCTTGGTGGGGTCACGTGACCTGGGGGTGTCACGTGACCAGGGGTGTCACGTGACCTCCACGTGACCCCCAGAAAAAATTTTCTAGATTTAGCGGGGAAATTTTTTCCGCTAGCGAGGAAATTTTTTCCGCTAGATTTAGCGGGTAAATTTTTCCGCTAGATTTAGCGGGGAAATTTTTTCCGCTAGATTTAGCGGGGAAATTTTTCCGCTAGATTTAGCGGGGAAATTTTTCCGCTAGATTTAGCGGGGAAATTTTTCCGCTAGATTTAGCGGGGGAATTTTTCGGCTAAATTTAGCGGAGAAATTTTTCCGCTAGATTTAGTGGGGAAATTTTTCCGCTAAATTTAGTGGGGAAATTTTTCCGCTAGATTTAGCGGGGAAATTTTTCCGCTAGATTTAGCGGGGAGTTTTCCCACTAGATCTAGCGGGGAAATTTTTCCACTAAATTTAGCGGGGAAATTTTTCCGCTAGATCTAGCGGGGAAATTTTTTCGCTAAATTTAGCGGGGAAATTTTTCCACTAGATTTAGTGGAGAAATTTACCCATAATGCACCGCGCGGTTACGCCGACAACGACGGCGACGCCGACGGCGACGGCGACGCCGCTCAAGCCGGGAACGGGCGCCTAAGAGCTGCGCTCTAATAACTGCTCTTATTACAAAACGTGAAAGGCCGACTTACGAAACCATTTTCCGCACGGTAGGAAAGTGCTCCCCATTGACCTTCGCTCCCTCCCCTCTCGCACTTCTTCCTCCTCCTCCCCTGAAGAGGGCGGGTCCGGAAGCTAGTCTCCGTGGAAAGAAGAAGGGGTTTCCTCCTTTCTGGGTGGCAAGGAGGAAACCTCTTCTCCCAAGGAAAATGGTTTTGTGGGTCGGCCTTTAACATATTGCACTAATGCCCTACACTCTAAAAAAGTCTGTGCGTATACTTTCACGCACAGCACTCGGAGTGCCAATCACCGCAACCCACGGAGGCAGCTCAGCGAATGACGATGCGGAAACATATGTCTAGACCAAAAAACGCAGTCTGAGTTGTGACATTAAGCAATGCAAAACGTCACGCTGGCATTGCTTAATGTCACAACTCAGACTGCGTTTTTGGTCTAAACATATGCTTCCGTATCGTCATTCGCTGAGCTGCCTCCGTGGGTCGCGGTGATTGGCACTCCGAGTGCTGTGCGGGAAAGTATACGCACAGACTTTTTTTAGAGTGTATAGTGCCTAGGGAACAGTCACACTCACTGTTCACTCATTTGGAAGGTCCTGCTTCGGGTCCTTCATTGGTGTGGGCGTATTTTGTCGACGACTGAAGTTTCCTAAGCAGGACTTTATCCTGCAAGACTTGGTTTTAAAGGTCTGCGCACTTATATGAGAAGTTGAACTGCACACAAGTGTTATATCCGGTAACTAAGAAAAAAAAATATATTTCTACACACGCGTTTTCGCGAGAGAAAAGGTGTTTGTGGGCAAGAACAGCCCTAAATATTAATTTCTGGGTAAACATTTTAAAGCATTTGCGGTTATTTTTGTAAAATATACTTGTAACGAGTAGGCATAGTTTCAGTTTGCTTCAACTCCCTTGGCGCCAATTTCGAAACTATGCGCACCTGCGAAAACAGGACATGATTCTAATCGGGACAAAAAGACGGGACGGCAGAAGGGGGCCTCAAAAACGGGACTGTCCCGGCCAAAACGGGACGTCTGGTCACCATAGTATTAACTCAAAATAATCCAAGAGATAGAGTCGTCTGGAAGAACGGAATCGAAACGACGCTGCCACCATTCTGATTCATTCCAGAAAATTCTGTTTTCGAGATATTCCAACTGGCCTCTGATACTTCTGGGTTTTCTTTTAACATGAATTTATTTTACAAAATCGGCTAGAGAAAACTCTAGTTTAATTTTGTTTTCTAATCTTACAGAAATGACTATTTATAGCAGCTCGTAGTCCGCGCCGCTTTGTGGCTGATCTTGCCACTATTAAAAACTAGTCGCCGTTCGTGTGGGATGAGCGTCCGTTTTGCTTTCGTAACTTTTGCTGCCGTTGGCGTTAAGCCGAGGACTTGCTGGACGTGATTTCGAAGTTGCTTTCATAAGGATGTCTGCAAGTCCGTCGGTGGTGCAGACCAGCTCTCCCATGTGTGGGGGACGTCGGGTGGTAGCTGTTTTTGTTTGAGGATATGTGTCGAGTTTTGTACTCTCGGGCATTCCCAGTACCTAAAGGGGTATTCACACGAGGGAGAAATCTCTGGGACTTCTCCCGGGCGCGAGTCACGTGATGAAAACGTCAGGCGTTTGCGATGCGGCGCTGTATGACGCTACGTGGCGGAGGGATGGAGGAACGAATGCTCGGGCGGCACAAGCCATCTTGGTTTGGCGGAGGCTCAGTTTGTTTTCAGTAATGTTTTGTTGTTAAACTACTTCGTGTCAAATGTAGAGCTCGCTAAATTCGTCTGCGGTGGCGCCAAGTGTGGAAACCGCTATATTGGACCAGTGGCGTAGCCAGGAATTTTTTTCGGGGCGGGGGCTCAAGTGGCTGGGATCATAACTTGGAGTGGGGGTAAGGGAGGTGGGGGGGAGGGGGAGGGGGGTCAACGTGCATGTTTATATTAGAGGGTTGGCTGGGTTTCGGGGGAAGGAGGGGCCTAAAGCTCCATAACCCCCCCCCCCCCCCCCCCCCCCCCCCCCTCCGGCTACGCCACTGTATTGGACCGCAAACGCTGACATTTCTCCGCCGCCACTTCGCCGGACTGGACGACGAAGCTGAGAAAGATATTGCACCTGCTGTCGACGTCACGTACATCCCTGCTCGGGTTTTTCGGGGCGAAGCTCCTTAGGGGCTAGCCATGTCCGTATGTCCGTCCGATGTCCTGCGTCGGGGGCTCGTGCTCCTGCTCGTGAGCTCACGCGCTCACGTGCTCACGAGCACGTGAGCACGTGCTCCTATGCTCGTGTAGGGCAAAAAAAAAAAAAAAAAACAGCATCTCCACGTGGTGAATGAAGTTGATTGGGGCGAAGCTCTGGTGGTGCTTGTCTGCGTAGACGGTGAGCCGCAGCATGCCGAGCCTTTCGTTCGTTTTCATCCATGTCAGAAAGAGAATGTGCGGTATGGAACGTGGTTATTAGCGGCGAGATGTTTTGGTGGCGCCCTCCTATGGTCCCCCCTTGTGACGTCATTACCTTGCGAACAACAAGTTCGATGGTGTTTGTAAATAGCACGGTGGAAGCCTGAAATCATTGCGCTCTCAGAGGAACACTGCCAACGCCGTCGAAATTAAAGTTCTTTCATTCCTCTTATTTCCGTGGATGGTATACCCTTTCCGACGTCATAGTCAGCTTTTGGGCCAATCGTGGAAGGCCGACCACAGCGACGCTTTCGGTCGCGCACGTCGCCAATATGAGCATTTGACCGCAGCGTGACATGGATGAAAACGAACGAAAGGCTCGGCATGCTGCGGCTCAGCGTCTACGCAGACAAGCACCACCAGAGCTTCGCCCCAATCAACATCATTCACCACGTGGAGATGCGGTTTTTTTTTTCCTCGTGTGAATACATTGACGCGATTATGTATTTCTATGCAAGGAACATCCGTTTGTGTGTCATTCATATTTTGTAACTATGACAGGGTTTTGGCCATATCAAGGCTTGAAGTGTGCTCGCTCTTAACAGAAAACGTGTTTTAGCATATACTACGCAATACAAAGGTACAGGTGACGATAAGGCAGGACAGCACAAACGGACCGGCGCCTTTATTATGGTCAACATAAACCGCCCAGCTGCTTTCTAATTTAACGTTCCTTTTTCCTTTTATTTAGATATTCAAACATGTGCTCGAAGGTCATATTCTACCTTGTTTTGCTGTGTAGTCTTTGTTTACATCATCCAATGAAGTACGCTTCGCTGTATAATCCTTTTTATTAAACGTTGTGTCTGCAGGAGTTTTCCAACCTGAGCATCAGAGCCTCTAAGTTTGTCAATGGTGTAGCTTTCGCCAAAGAGGTTCAAGACGTCCAGAGCAGGTTCATATCCTGGCTTATAAACAGCCAACCCCTTGGAACGAAGTATCTTAACATAGCTCAGTTGGCCAACACTACACCAGGCATATCGGAAGCCGAGTGGCTGAACGCCATCAACGTTAACCTTCTGAATCCAATTTCGGCCGAGACGGTCATCTACGTTTACGAGTCGCAAGGGCTCTACATCGTCAACAAGCTCATGGAAGAATACAAGGATAACCCCAGGCCGGCTGCAAACTGGATCACGATGTACCTCCACTACTACTTCGCCGGCGCAAGTTCGTACCGGCTTCCCAAGCTTTTTACGAACTACGAGGACAGGTGCTTTACTTACATTGGGGACATCGCCCCACACGCAATCAACGTTCTCTTATCTAAACTCGTTGTATCAACCGACGAAGTGCAATTTGCGAAGCATATACTTGGCAGAATCAGAAACCTTTTCCCCACATTTTTCAACTGGACCGACGCTGAATCCAGACCATTAGCCACGAAACGACTGAATGACATTATCATCATCCTGGGCATCGCGAGAAAATTTTACTCTCCCGCGGCCATGGAGAACGAATACCGTTTCCTGCCCGCCTTCGAGGGACCCTTTCTGCAGGACCTTCTCCAAGCCTTGAAGAACAGGGCGGAGGAAGAACTCTTCACTTTCGCCCACGAGACGGGTAAGCTGGAACGGGACGCGTCTGTCTTTACGGAGTTGGCCCAGTTCGGGAATGCTTTCTACACCCCGAGCTTGCACACTGTCTACATACCATCGGCCATGTTGACAGAGCCGTTTGTGATGAGCGACTCGCTCGTGGCCACCTACGCCCTCCTAGGAACCGTACTAGGACACGAGATGTCACACGCCTTTGGCCCGAAATCGGTGGATCGCCTGCCGACCGGCGTCTGGAGGAGGTGGATGACCAACCGAACATGGCAGGACTACAGCACGCGGCTAAACTGCCTCACCGACCTGTACCGCCAGTACGCCATACCGCACTACGCCCAGACGACGTTGGAGGAGAATTACGCCGATATAGCGGGCATGCAGATGGTTCTTGCGGCCATGAGGAGCGACACGTGCGTCAAGTTCGACGAACCGTCGCCGATTCAGGGACTCAGCAACAAACAGCTCTTCTTCGTCGCCTATTGCTACAAGTACTGCTCGCCGCAGAATCCGGAATATTACTATGGCGGGAGCTACGCCTCTGATGTCCAACGGTGTCAAACTGTCGCCAAACAATTTAAGGAATTCTGGGAGGCATTTAGATGCGATAGAAGATCGCGAAGGCAATGCGTTCTGTTATAGAAAATAAGTTCCTTTTTGTTTGGTTAAGACATTTTAGTGCTATACATGGTAAATTACAATTTTTAATGTAAAAAAAATGTTTGTGCATTGTGTTACTGTAGTCCCGTTACCGCTATTGCTGTACTGGATTCAGGAGCGGCTTATACACCGCCCCCCCCCCCCCAAAAAAAAAAAAAAAAAAAAAAAAAAAAACTTTTTTAGGTGCAGTTAAGCCCAATTACATCGAATCTGGGCATTTCGAAATATTGGGGACTTTTAACAAACCGTTGCCATGTTTAAGTGCGCGCCCCGCGATCCCGAGCGCGCGCTTAAAGGGGCCCTGCAATCATATTTAAGCGTCTACCTTTTTTGCGGTTTCCACGTCTCTTGAAGTTCGGGCAAGCCAGCGGGCACGGAGAGAGTAACTAAATATCAGTGCGTCATATTTTAACCGGACGGCGCGGAAACCTCCTCCACCGACGAGGGCGACCCGCGGTACCGAAAGCGCGCAAAATGTGACGTCTTTGGTCCTGGGCTTACTACTGGTCAGAGACGCTAAAAGCTTCCTTTTAGTCGAAATACAAAATATAAGTGTCGCGAACCGTTTCAATTACTTATAAAAGTAGTTTTTGTTCACTATTTTAGATGAGAAAAGAAACAAATGCAGTTTATAAAGTACGGAAACAAGAAATGACCCGTCGACATACCCGCCACCAAGCGGTGTAAAAGGCGGCGCATACTAGAAAGAAGTAGTGGGATCAGGCGCCGACACAGAAAGGTCCCGGATGTACGCGGCAGCGCTGCGGTCGTATGGGCAGGAGGATCCGACCGGCTCCGAGCCTTCCGAAGGCCGTCGGCGAGATGCTTTGTCTTGCGGTTTGGCCGTTTCGCGGTATGGCAGCGCGAAGTGGCTCCCACTCTGAACTGATCTTTACCCCGTGTTTGCTGTCGTTTGTGGCCAATGAAGTGTCATGCCGAATGAGGGTTTAATCACGCAGCAAAGGCAATGAGAGCCGCTCTGGCTGCCCCAAGGAGGTTATAATGGGCAGGAGGTGGCGTCCCTATCCCCAATGCATTAAGCGAAGTGTAACGGAAGTAGGCGTGGCCACGAGCCGCAACGGTGAGTGGGCGCCGCCATTAATTTCGGTGCAAACAACCGCGTTGCCATGACATTTCCGTGGCAACGCGATTGTGTGCACCGAAAGCAATGGCGGCACCCACTGTTATTTGAAACAGCGCTTAACGGGAGACTTTTAAACCGGTATGGTCAGAATTGGATGAGAATATTATAAACGAACGCCTGGTTGCCCAGCAGAAAGTAAGTGACTAGAATTGAGACGCTCTAGACGACGCACCGTGAAGGACTTGGCGGTGCGCAAAGCATTTTTTAATAAACAGCAGCAGCAGATCGCACGAGCGCGCATGCAAGCCAGGAGCGCACAGAACAACGGGCTCGCGCTTCCAGTTCTGACTTCGCTCGACATAATGTGGAACTATGTATAAACACTCACGCTGCAAAGCATTGCATCGTGGACGCCCACGGCGGACGCCGACCGCATCGAAAGCTAGCCTCGTGAAGCACACGCCGGAGCAGATTAGAAAGCAGACGAACCGCCGGTGCGCTACCCCACGGCCTCAGAACGGGTGCGCAAGGCAGTCTGGGATCAAACGCCTCTTCCGGCTTCACTCAGGCTGACGTCATGCCGGGTCCTGTCTGTTTAAACGTCCTTGGGCTGCCCGCTGCATACAGCCTGTCCAGAACACGCTTTAGTGGCGCCCTCTCGCGCCGTCTACACGGAATGCGGCAGCTGTGAGCGCTCGCGATGAGCTCACTACCCCTCCTCTAGTTCACGGCCGCTCAAGCAACCAAGGACGTCATGAGGGAGGTTATTTTTTGCTTGTTTTTGTAATTTTGATTTGCCTATAACTTTTAAAATAAAGCGAATTTCAAGAAAATAAAAGTTACACTGTTACTACGTTCAGTGCTCTCAGGTTTGGTGCAAATACGCGGAACACAGTAACAGTTTGCTAAAAGTCCCTATTGTCTATTTCGAACAGTCAAAACATTCCCTTAAAAAGCCTCTGACACGCCAAAAAAAAATAAAATTGTTTTTTCATGCTAGGCGTTGAAATGGCATGTCAGGACATTGCAAAAAATTGTTTCACCAAAGAGGTGCGTATTTTTTTTTAATAAAAAATAGAAATAGGAGGCCCGATTCAAAGTTCCTGCCAGTGCACTGTGACGTAACAGTGTACCACAAGGTGTCGGGGCGGTCAGAAGGGAGGCATCGACATACGTCACTAAAAGTAAGTTCGCAGGAAGTCACGTGAGTTTCACTCTTCGTGCTCTCCGCGACCGTGCCTACGACTTTATTTTTTGCTCTTTGTACGAACGATTGCGGAAAACGAAGTTTCAGTTCCACTAGCTCTTTATCGCTGCACCGTTGGTTAGTTTGCGTGCTGTAAAAGTGGAGGACGAAGAGTCAGTGGATCGACATGATGGAGGTCAATGATCTAAGCGTTACGTGTGTACGAGTGCGTGCCGTCAGTCCGATGATACAGAGCTATACCGGGCACAAAAAAAGCTATCAAGATTAAAAAAAAAAAAAAAAAATTAAAACGCTTGCAGAAATTAGGATTGCTTGCGTACGACACGTCCAATTGCATTGCTGAAGCTTCGGACACCGAGGTTGTTGAATCATCGTATACTCCAGGCTGAAGATGCCTACCGTCTCTCGGAAATGCATGCAATGTGATCTCTTCTTCAGTTGCTGAAATACCGGGACAGTCCCTCACACAGCACCTTCTAGGCACTTTAGTTGATCACGTCAATTCACTGACTCCTCTTCTTCTACCTATACACCTTTCCAAAAAACACTCCTAGGCCGCCGCCATGTTGCTGATGCTGATGCGGCTGGTGCGACTCTCGCGCCCTCTATCAGCTAGAAGTTTTCTGCCACTCTCTGGGACTGTGAAGACCCGCTCAGCGCGGTTCTCTACATGCATTTGAGCCGTTTTGCATTCGACGTTTTCTAGCTCTCTTGAAAGTTTCCACTTCATTTTTTTATGCGTGCTGCCTACCCTTCTTGTGTTATCTTCCATTGTGAGAAATAAGGCTGGTAAGTGCCTGTCATTCAAGCTTTTCTGCTCGACATTCACGGGAAACGAAGCAGGTGAAGGACGTCGAACGACCCTCGACGCGATTTTGCGAACATTGTTCTCCCCCCTCCCAGAGATAATCCGCGTAGAATCCTCAGTCATCTCCAAAAATAGTTGCCCGGGTTGGGGTGAGAAACGGGTCAGTCGCGTTTGTTTCTTTGCCTTGGTGCGGTTATGAAAAAAAGGAAGCTCTCCCCGAAACGTGCCCCAAACGAAGTCATCTCGGATTCCGTCCGATCGTCAAGATGTGACTGTCGTCGCTGTGACTGTGTTATTTGAGATCTTTCTCAAATAAATTATTTTCAGATAACGCTGCATCGTGTGGTATGTACGATATATTGTTCTAATGTTAACACTTCCTCAATTTTATGTCCGTATCCTGTCCATCGGTAAACACGTTATTTGTGAGCGTGAAAAATGCATGCCTTTCGGCCGTCTTCTGTTGCAATTTATTTTTGACAGCAAAGCGCTTTGTCGCTTCACATGCGGCGAATCCCGCGGCGTCGTCAAAACTGATCGTAAGAAGAAAACAAATAACTAGAACTATACATTCCAGTCGCACTCGTTCTGTCGCGCGCGTACCCAACAAAAACAGTTTACAGTTTTTTTTGTTTTTTGTTTAGTGTGACACAATGCTTTCTCAATGCCCTCGGGAAAATACATGTACAATGAAACACAAAATATAGCGGGAAAAAACGAGAATTTAGCCGCCAGCAGCGTTTGAAACTGCGCCTACGCAGGCTGCGCCTATTGAAATCACAGTCCACTCGGTTAGGGTTAGGAAGGACGCCGGTGAGAGTCTAGCCTCAAACTCAGTGACTGGGCTCGAAAACGGATAGTGGTCCCTGGGGTCGAGTGTTTTTTGGAAAGGTGTATAGACCTTTTCATTTCAATAGTTGTCTGACCGTCGGGTAGAGGGCGCTGGAGCACTCCACGCCATGAGGTTGCTTCAGTTTGGTTCATTTCGGTTTCAACGTGCACGCGATTGTGTTGCTATTTCATGCTGTTTTCGCTTCGTTTGTGATACAAAATTCTTTCTTGTAGCATACAGTGAATGAAACAATCTTACTGAGAAACTTGGAGAATCAGGAAGTGGTTTCGAGCCTAAATGGCGAACACTTTCACGAACACCAAATGCGTCTGATTACGTCTACCGTTCAGTTCGACCATGTTCGGCGGTAAAACAACCGCGCTGATGTACTGGGAGGATTACCATCATTCACGGCCGTACCCGCAAACACTAGTGTAAAAAAAAAAAAAAAAAATTAGGAGCAGGAAAATTTCCGCCTCCCACCGCTCCAGCACGCGCTCGTTGCCTGCCGCCGTGCTTTGGCTGCGCGTGCACCGTGTGGTATGGAAGGGCTCGCGCTCAAGTCAGATTCGACCGCTCATTTTATATTGCAACAAACTATAATGAATGAGTGCTTGTAGAGAACGTAAAGATGAAGTGATATTGCCTCCGCCTGTTTTATTAAGAAAATTAAGTTAGAGAAATATTTTTATAGACCAACCTACGCCGACTAGAAAGGTTCTTTAAAGGAGCGGTGCAACGATATTCAATTGCAATGTTTTTCACTTGACACAAGCTTACTGGCACACCTGGGACTCAAGGATACTCACACGCAACGCCACTGGCCAAGAAACTCCTTTGTTACGGTGTAATTTCAAGGACAAAAGCGATCATTTTCATTCAATCTCTCCTTTGCAAAATTTGATGACGTAACGTGGGGATCGCAGTACACCCAAGTGACGATATTTGAATGCGGTTCATAGATTGGACCCGAGCATTGCGTGGGCACTCGATTTGGGCTCGTGATAATTGCTAGCTCGAGAAGCATTCGGGTAGTGACCCGTGTCCAATC